GAACAGATGGAACACTAAATGTCAGTAGCCTCACGAGATTAACAAGAAACTAATACCACAAAATGTCAGTAGCCTCATGATATTAATAGGGAATTAACACTACAAAATGTAAATAACCTGATGATATTAATAGGAAACTAACACTACAAAATGTCTGTAACGAGATGATATTAACAAGGAACTAACACTACAAAATGTCAGTAGCCCTTTTAGTGTTTACTATTTTAAGCTTCTTACTTGTTTTATCAAATGTTTTATCCATACAGAGGTTAACTTACCTCAAATGTCTTGTCAGGTGCCACCGTCAAAATGTAACCTCCGCCCATCTTCAACTCGAAACTTGGTAGTTTTACACTAAATTCTGAAGAATTGGCTACTGGCAAATGTAATGAATACCTAAAGGATTTTAAGGAGAGATCGATTTGTAATTAATACTGCTATGTTACAGGGTTTAGGGTGGAGGTATTCATTTCGTAACGAAAAAAACAACTTTAAAATCTCATATCATGCAACATTCACTATCACAAATATTACCGTAAGAATCGCTTTGAAATATATTTTTAATCCAATTACATAAACACTTCTGTAGTTCATTTGTTTTGTTTCAAGATTTGCGCGCAAAGATGATCATGAGCTATTTGCGTTCTTAATTTTGAAGTGATCGACTAGAGGCAAAGAAACAGCCCATCAATATCACCCACTGCCAAATCTTGGGCTACTCTTGTCAGACCAAGTAGTGGCATTTGGCAGTTACTCTTAAAACTCACCCACAAACCAATAGTCTGGCTCGTCAACCACTGGGCCACACTCGGCCTAAGACATAATGTTTTGGGTGATATTTGGGCAAGAAAAGTCATAATGATACAGCCACAGAACATAATGCAGGATAGTTGTTGAAAAGGAACCTTAATATTAAACCCTCAGATTCACAGTCCAGGGCAGCAAATCACTATGTTGTCTGTTTAAAATCAGAGACGTTGAAGCGAATCCTCAGAGTCACAGTCCAGGACAGCTAATCTATGTCGACGTCTCTGATTTTCAACTGACGAAGCGAATCCTCAGATTCACAGTCCAGGGCAGCTAATCATTATGTTGTCAGTTGAAAATCAGAGACGTTGAAGCACAGTCGATTTTCACGAAACTTCTAATAGAAACTAACACTAGTGTAGAAACTAATAGTAGTGTAAAAATGTAATGAGAGGAGTGTTTCCCAATACAAATCTTACCCAAAAATGACTGAAGTGGAATTTGATGTGGTTTGTCACACCGGAAAACTCAAGTACGCACGATTTAAATTGAAATAAGGAGTGTTGCTGTAATAGCTGTTTTCTTCTCCATAACGACCTGAATCCCAACTAGCTTGGGGTAGGCCGATATTTTTGTGTAAGCCAAGAATTTTCACAGCCAGATGGGTGGCTGGCCCAGATGGCAACATGCCACCAAGGCCTTGCCAGGCCCGATCTAGTACTTCTGTCCTTTTTTTATTTATTTTTCAACACAAAGCTACACAATGGGCTATCAGTGCTGTGGCCCGCGGGTATCGAAACCCGAACCACAGATATTTTTTGTATTTAATTGTTTCGTAAGCCTCACAAGTTAAAAATAACTTACATTTAAAATTACGTTTTAGAAATAAGTGTGGGTTCTTCAACTCAAAACGTCCCACATCTAAACTACCATACACTCCTTTTTTATTTCATGTTGGATAATTAGTTTGGTTTTTTTATGATTTTCGCGCAAAATTATACGAGGGCTATCTGCGCAAGTCGTCCCTAATTTAGTAGTGTAAGACTAGAGGGAAGGAAGCTAGTCATCATCACCCACCGCCAACTCTTGGGCTATCTGCGCTAGTCGTCCCTAATTTAGTAGTGTAAGACTAGAGGGAAGGCAGCTAGTCATCGTCACCCACCGCCAACTCTTGAGCTACTCTTTTACCAACGAATAGTGGGATTGACCGACACTTTATAACGCCCCCACGGCTGAAAAGGGCGAGCACGTTTGGTGACACGGAGATAAGTTGGATAAAACAAGGAGGAACAAGACTTTAATCCCGAACCTCTACATATACCCAACATTGTTCATCTACGGCTCTACTGTTGATTTAGCACAAAGCTACACAATGGACTATCTGCGCTGTGAGTAGGATTAGCAAGCTTACCAAAGGAATACATACACTAATATTTAAATCAGTTTCTTCTTTTGTTCTCGTTCAGTTGGTGAATACCTTCCCGTCTTAATTGAAGAGCACTTTCAGTGTCCAATCCTCGAATCTGTTACATTTATCTCAACAAGTACTCAAATAGAAAAATAAATCATTGTTTGGTGTAATTGAAGTAGTCAAGCTCAATAACTACTTCAAACCAAGGGATTTATTTAAAAAATAATAATAGTTTTACTTCCACAAAGAGAAAAAAAAATCACTCCATACTGGCTAATGTGAACAGCAGAACGATAAAAATTAGATATACTCTAAAACGTCAAGAGACAAAAAATAAATAACAACATATACAACACCTATAGGTAAATACCCCACGTGACCAAAGGTACATTTCTTGTAACACGTACACGTTAGTGGTTTGCTTCACGTATTGTCGTGGATAAAAGATGTGTAAAAGTTGTTTGCAATTTAACTGGGAAGATCGCGCCACCACTAAAAGCGTGAAAGATTTTAGGCTTAAACATATAACGTCATTTTTCTTTTTTTTTGAATCACGGAGTTTCACCAAGTACCGAAGGTTTCAAGTAAAATGATTACATTCTACTATTTCTAGAGGGTATAACGGGAATAACTGTTACTTTTAACTGTTTAGATGTAATAAACTACCCAGGTCTAGCTCCTAGGTGCTTCGCCAAATCTTTAGAATCACTCAACTTGCTTTTAAATGTTTTGACAGAAAATCGCTCTAAAGAAACTTAAACACTGTTGATTTCTTTATACGTTTATCCTATGTATATATATTGGCTAAAAAGATTTTTTGATGGCTTTGATAAGATTTTAGAGAAGGCTGAAATAAGTCGTCTAAACACTTGAGAATCACAGCACAGCAGATTCATCCATAAGAATCTCCAGCTTTTACTGACATTTCCAGTAGCGTTCTTACTTCTCCTGACAGTCGAAAATACCAGTACCATACTTACACTCCTGATAATACTCTTGTATACTCTGTACTTCCAACCGCTTCTGAAGTGTCGTATAAAATACTGGAGTTTTGGATAGGTAATTCGTAGTCGTTTGGTCCACTTAGCTTAAATGTGCCATTGTTTGACACCAAAGTGTTCAAGTTCGATGGAAAACTATACAAAATTCGAATATTTGAATCCCCATTCTCTGGTTTCTCCAATGAATCTGTAACCTATGAATAAAAATGAAACTTGGAGCTTAGGGATGTTGCTAACTTCATATTTACTCTACGAACTATCTTAACTAAAAGGTGTATTATTACTGAGAAGAGTGTATATAATAATACCTGAACCACACCAAATATACTATATCCAGTGCCGACGAGGCTTTTCGGTGATACTCTTTAGACTCGCTGGAATACAGCAGACATAGTAGTGGCTGAAATGTTAGCAAATTACTTGACAACAAGTCAACCGTTACAATGTGAACTGGATTAAGTCGGTGAAATGTAATTTTTCATAATTTTTTTATTTCAGTCACAATACATCAGAATTAGGATAAGGAGTATTTAACGTTATATCATTTATTTATTTAACAACATATATTATTAATTATTATTTTCTTGCTCACTATTCAAAAGAACCAGCGAACCGGCAAATTGTTCTTGTTAGAACTTGTGTACACGTTATTGAAACTGTTAAAGTAACAATGTTTTTTAATTACGCTGGGGCGGAACCTTTAAATATAAAATCTCTAAGAACCTTATACAAGAAGTTAAAATTCGCTTATGTGGTGAAAGATCCCCCAAATCGGACTTTACTTACCAGGTTTACCATCACAGATATTTGCCACATTAGTCACTAAACGCTGTATGTAGACATGGGCCAAGAAAAAAAAATGGCTGCCGGATTCAATCTATTACTCTATGATGTTTATAAATAAATGCTAAAGTTGAGTTATAGACTTATTTGAGCACCTAATTGCTATTATCGAGTGTTTCACTGCTTTGTGAGACTCCCAATATTATTGAAAAGTGTTGCTAAAATGGAGAACTGGAAACTAGCTAAACAGTCAAAGTGTTCGTCTTTATTTTTTCTTTTCCCACGTTAGCCAAAAAATGTGTGAGGATTTCGCAATGGCTTTAGTATGACAGAAACGAATTTTAAGAGCACTTGGTAATAGGCTGTTACTAATCATTTCAGTGTTTAGTATGAACTAAAAAAAAATATAGTTCTAGTTTAAACAATGTTATCATTACCCCTCGATGTTAGCTTTCTAATGGAAATACGGTGTTCCTTTAAAAAGATTAAGTACATAGTGAAAAAGAAATTATTAGCCAACAATAGATAAACATTAGATGACTGTAACATGCAGAATACTGAATGCTTTGTACACTATACAATCGGTGTCTTTAGGGAGCCAACCCCTATATTATGTATGAAGTGAAGGAGTAAAAAAATAGATCAAAACACATAATATTAAATTTTACTACACACATTCTTAGAATACGTTAACTTTCAGTCAGGGTAAAAAAACGTCACAAAACAAGTAATAAGAACATTTTGTAAATATAAAATGATGAAGGGATGTCAGTGCCAAAAAGAATACAAACATAAATATAGGGATGATACAGCTATACCTTTTTTTCATATGTTTTTTCCTTACTGTAGGCTCCTCAAAATTAAGTCCCAAGAAGTCAAAATTATCATATATTACCATTGAATTATACAAATATTCACTTGTTAACCTACTTCAATAAAATTGTTTAAAAAGAAAAGTAGGGAAATAAGTAATAAAAAAATTGTAACAATTAAGTATTATGTAGGAATAGCAATGCCAAAAAGTACAGAAACAAGGTAGAGATGAAATGTATGAATTCAGGTTTTAATAAAAGTATTTAAATGGCTAATAATAATAATAATAATAATTTACAATGGCTAATAACCGTAAGATTGACTCGGTACTTACTGGCTACTTATGTACGTTTTTTTTGTATTTTTGTGCATTAATCCCTACCTTGTTTCTATATTTTTTTGGCATTGCCATCCCTATATTATACTTATATATTAACAGTCTCAACGGGGTGTACTATCCTTGATATGAAACAGTACAAACCTAATATAAGTAATAATAGGAGCTCAGAGATCACCAGGATTATTTAATATAACGATGCCTTATGTACTCTAGTGGTCAGAGGGTATCTGATATTTAAAAAACATAACTGACCTGGTGTATTAATAACTTAGAAAGGTCAGAGGTCACCATCAGGACGTGTATGCCTTTACTTGCTGTCTGGATAACATAATCGATTGATGCCAGCTGGACTTCACATTCTCCTGGTGCAGGGGTGAATGTCAGGTTGTGCGGTACGCCTGACTTGATATCCTTTACTACATACATCTAGAAATAGTTAAGATCAAATTGAGGTCATGATATAATTTTTAAAAAAATCTAGACGAACACAATGAAGAAAATGACACGATATGAATTACATTTACATTAATACAGAATATAAAATAAACAATTATATTTATTGCAATACACCTCTAATTTCTCGTATGACAAAAACATTAGAATTTCGTTTTCTTATATCGCATAGCGCCACCTATACTCGTTTAATGTAAGCTTTCCTGTGCGATTTTAGCGCCACCTAGAGAATGCCAGAATGTAAATTAAAGTGTTAATTTAAGTTCTACTTTTGCAGTCTTAGTTTACGCTAAGCATTTAAAACGAAAACATAAACAGACAATAAAGCACTATTGTGTCATTTCTTTTTCGTTAAATCTACTAACTGAAAAAAAAAGGTCAAGTAGATACAATTAGAATACTGTAAGATCCTTAGAATGTTATGTTTGAGTTCTATTGAATAAAAATAAACATTTCTGTGACAAAAATTTAACAATTTGCTTTAATTTTATCGAACAATATGAATTTTATTTCAAAATAACCTTGTAACTAATTCTATGAATTTTTCCGAATAATTACATCATTTTCTAAATGTATTAGTAAAACATTAGTGTCATCTGTACAACCTTGAAAATTGAAAAATAGCCGCCAAAAATTGCTGGTATAATTGACCTTTAAATGAAAATAGTGTAAAAAAAAAGGAGAAACCAAATTAAGTCACAAATTTAGTCTTACGAAATCTAAGTAGAGGAAGCCAAACCTCTTGATTATAGAATGATAATACTAACACAGAACTCTGTATGGCATGAAAGGTAACACGTAGAAATTAAAATTAGTAGTTATTATGTTATATTATTATAAAGTTATTAAAGTTTTCCTGGTCCATTTGATAATTACGTTCTTTAAAAAGTTAAAGTTTTACCTGTTTCAGTTAGTAATTATGGTCTTTAAAAGTTATTTTTAACAGGTTCACTTAGTAACTATGTTATTTAGAAAGTTAAATTTTTTCCTGGTTCACTTAGTAATTATGGTATTTAAAAAGTTAAAGTTTTATCTGGTTCACTTAGTAATTATGTTACTTAAAAAGTTATTTTTACCTGGTTCATTTAGTAATTATGGTCTTTAAAAGTTATTTTTACCTGGTTCACTAAGTAATTATGTTCTTTAAAAAGTTAAAGTTTTACCTGGTTAAATGCTAACTTGGTTTCCAGTATATCACTTTTAATGCTCACAGAGCATGGAGCTGTGTTGATCAGCGCCACCTGGCTGAATCCTGACGAAGGAATAACGGGCAAAGTATTCTTTTAGGAAATAAATGAAAAGAGTGGAATGCCAGTTTTTAAGTGTTTCACTTATAATTTTTTGATTCAATAAAATGATTCACAACTTAGCATTTAATAAATTGGTTATCTAATGAGCCCTGCAATAAACAAGCACATTTTATGAAAATTACGTGTTGGCTGGATTGTTTTTAGTTACTATTAGTATATTTTCCTAAGCCCTCAAAATATCCTATCCATGTAAAGAAAGCAAACCCAACTGTTTCTAATGAATCGCTAGATAGACAAAACCATTTTATTTGAGCACAATCGGAAATTAATAATTATTATATCGAATAAATTAAAAATACGAGTGTATATAACACGATCAAATTCCATAAACTAATCTGAAGAGGAAAAAACTGCTGGACAGTTATTATGACTTGAGATTGATATTACCTTGTGAGTCTAGAGAAAACATACTATTTGTAAGTTGTATTTTATTATACTCTTACATTTGGCAGTTCGTTTTTGTTTGTTTTTTCTCCATTCAAACGCAAGAAAATTTTAACAAATCTAAATTCAAACACGCAAAAACTTTACCTCAATTCTGATCTGTAGGAACCCAGCAATCACAAAAGATATAGCAGTTAAAAGTCCACCAAGAGTGATTCGCTGAAGAGGTCTGTAGAGAGAAATTATCCTGGTTTATATTTATTTACTTGAAACTTAAATCTATATCCATCTAATAGCCAGTTTATCTCTTGCATAAAGACAAAATACAACGTGTTCTCACCTGATCAAAAGGTTACACTTGGCAAACAGTGGGTAAATAATGTATTCAAAAAGTGGTATGAATATGATTATCAAAAATGGGTTGATAACCTGCATCTGGTCAGGCTTCATGATGAATCCCCCCTATTTAAACCAAACAAAGAATAGGTAATGAGATACACAAAATGACTCTTATATAAGATTATTAATTCGAAGACTCCTTAAAACGTAATCATTCTATAATCTATCATATGTGCCTCACTTTGTACACATAGTCTTGATATAACTTATAGTTCTGGTTGTTTTGCTGTAATTTATGTTGAGATTTTTGTTCGTTACTGGTTATTTTGATACAATTTATGCTGAATTTTATGTATATTCCTGGTTATTTGATATAATTTGTGCCCAAATTTCTATATATATTTCTCAATATTTTAATATATGATTTATACTGAAGTTTATGTATATTCCTGGTTATTTGATATATTTATGCTGAATTTTATGTATATTCCTGGTTATTTGATATATTTATGCTGAATTTTATGTATATTCCTGGTTATTTGATATATTTATGCTGAATTTTATGTATATTCCTGCTTATTTGATATAATTTGTGCCCAAATTTCTATATATATTTCTCGATATTTTAATATATGATTTATACTGAAGTTTATGTATATTTCTGATAATTTCGATTAACTGATACTAAAGATCTTTAGACTTGCTTCTTACTATAAGGTGTTTTTATATTCCCGTTATGAGTAGTTTCTGAACTTCACATTTTTTACTATTCAAGGTAACATTACCAGCTGTGCATTTGCATCATTGAACAATTTGAAATTTATTAATATTTACATTTTATTAACTAAAATAATGATATACAAACACTATTGCAGCTATCTCTCAACTAATAAAAACACTGTTCTGAACACGAAATTAAAAGTAAAAATTTATTTTCAAAAAAGTTTACTATTTCTAAAAATCCATGTTTCGTCAGTTCATAGTTAGAATTCTTAACACATAATAGTGTTGGAGTTTATAAGAATAGGTAACTCCAAATGGCGTTGAGGTGCTCAGTAATAAGGTCTTAATTTTACGTAAATATTAAAAAATTTGCTCACCAGTTGCCCGTCCATTTGAATAGCTTGCAGTGTCCATCTAGAGCCCTGAGTATTTAAAAAATTCAAGAAATTTACAGTATTGTCAACATGTATTGTGAATTTTTTAATTATGCTTACTTTGAAAAACTGTCAAGCTTACATTCCTTAAATACTGTAAAATTGCTGAAAAACTGTAAAATTAATTAAGACAAGATAAGCGGTAATGGCGGTATTTTTTTAGTATCTTAGTTAAGCCCAATTTCCTGAGTGTTTTAGTCTAATGTCCATATTTAATAAGCTAGCTTTATAGATATTTTTTTGGATTATATTAATAACTGAACTGATTTGTAAATATATATTAAATAACAAAAAGCTTTGAAACGGGTTGGACATTTTATGATGTTCTGTAAAAGGACGACGAGGTAAGCAGAAATGGTTGTGTTGCAAGTAAATTCTCCATCTTAAAATATTATAGATGTCTAATACAGAGGGGAAAACTGTTGTAATGGCTACTGCATTCTTTAAGAAAACAAAGAGGTTTATTTAATACAGTTTAAAAAAAGTTTTAATGCAAAATATTCTGTTTTAAAACTAGTTTAAGTTTAAACAATCTGAAGACATATTGTCAGACGCGAGTATAAAATTGTATAAAAAGATGTCAATAGAGGGCACTGCCTATATAGACAATTTGTGAACAAAATAGCTTAGCAGTTTTACCTGTTGATCATAAAGAGCCCAAAATACTGGGAGTGGAATGAACAGAAGTAATACCCACAATATAGCTTTCACGTCTTCAATCAGTTGAGTCTGGAATGTATAACATGTAAAATAAGCCTAACACATATAGTTATTAAAGCTGTGAGATCAGAAGAATGGATTGAAGCAGTGTTTCATTTCTGTTGAAACATGTTTTACATTCTATTTTATTTTTTACGACCGCCAGGTTTGCAGTAGGAATTGATATTAGACTGACATAACTAACTATATTATCTCTCTCCAGCCCCATCACACATATTAGCCTAAATAACTTTCACACTGATCTCTTTCAAAACTCAAAATCCCCACCATCACCCTCCAGCATGGATCCGGTACTTTTTAAATGTAAATCAAGCGTTACGTTTAAATGACGTTGATTTTTATTATCATCGAACTATATTAAACTATATACTACTTACGTCATACATATCATCAGCATAGTTCAACCAATGATCTTTCGTTATTCCTTCTGATCTAGCTCTGATTCGTCGTTTTAAGGCATGCTGAAAAATAATGAATGATTATGAATGTAACTAAAAAACTAAAGTGTTTTATATTATAAAGTGATTGCAATAATACAAAAACAACTTTAAAATATAATATTTTCATATTAATGTTTTCGCACATCACATTTTAACTCGTAGTTTTTGATCATTCAGTAAACAGGGCAGTTTAACATTACGCACATCATCAAGTTAACATTTCCAAAAGTCTGTAAACCATTTAGAGATTCAAAAATTACTCTAGGTTCGCTTGTAATACGAGTTTCAAACCGCCGTATTTTAGCCTTAACTCTTGTGTTTATAAAACAACGTTACGACCCTCTATTTGCAGTCTTTGTTAGGCTTAACATGTAAGAATAACTTTTAAACTAAAACATTTACTGTATAAGCTTTACAAAAACTGCTGAACAACTGTCTCTTCTTGTTAAAATACAGAACGTTTCATGTTAAAGAAGTAGATTGTATATTTAAGATAAGGTTCTTCATATAGTTGTTTTTAAACGAGCTAGCTGAGTAAGTTTTAACTGATATCAACATTTGGCAGTAAAGAAAATCAAAAACATTTCTCGGATGTTCATATACTTCTGAAGTTAGATATTTATATATGTTTAGGTTAATCTTTCATCAATAAACATAGACTGTAGTCCACCGATTAAAACTTGATTAATTAGAAGTTAGTAAATGGTAAAGTTGTCTTTCATAGCGTTTTATTATTGATCATTTTACACTGTGCTTAAGTACAGATCAGTTCGGACATAGTAACTATTAGGCCACGACCAGACCCTATTGCAGAGGTACTTAGCTCACAATACGGATACCTACATAGCAATAAAATAATACTTACAATAATACATTTCACCACTTTGATCAATATGTTTCCTTGCGGAGGAAACATTTTGTACAGAGGACGCCCCACAATGAATAAAACTGAAATTATATTAAACTCATGTAAGTACATCACACAAGCGAAACAAGAAGAGTAAACAATATAGTAAAATTGGCTATCATTGTAATATAATATAAAGCATGTTAATCAAGCGAAACATGAAGAACTATTGTACGACAAATACCATAAAATACACTGTCAATTTGTTTGTTTGTTTAGAATTTCGCTCAATGCCGCTAGAGGACTATTTGTGCTAACCGACCACAATTTTAAAATGATAAGATAAACTAGATGGAAGACAGCTAGTCGACGCTGCTAACTCTTGAGCTACTCTTTACCAACGAAAACTGGAATTTACCGTCAAATTATAACGCCTCCATAGTTGAAAGGGCGAGATGTTTATTGGGTATTTCTCTACAAGTAAAATATGACGATGGTAGAATATAATCGCGTAATGAATGGAAAGCTGTTTTAAACACTATAAAAACTATGATTTAATATATCTTATTTGACAAAAACAAGAAACGTAATAAGAAAGGAAGTGAAAAAAAATACTGTAGCTTTTAATGTTCGAATTTGGTTGGATCTGGTTAAAGCAGCAACCCATCAAGACGAGATGTTAGTTCTAATCCAGTCATACCTCTTTTTCTTGTACTACTTCATAAACTTGCTAGTTTAGAATTCTTGCGCAAAGATGAACTACAGAAAAGTAGCTATTCAACAGCACCCACTGCCAAATTTTGGTCTACTCTTGGCTGACGGAATAGTGGGATTTGATCGTCACTCTTGTAGTGTATTCAGGGGCTTTAAAGTGCGGACAGCGTATTCACATATTCCGAACACGCTAATCAATGAGTCATACCTGGCCCCGAATAATAAAGGCTTTGATCATAACTGATCTGTATTTCTAGTTTATCCTTACTGAATACTAAATTCTATACCATAGTTGGAAAATTTAATATTTGATATTGTATAACAAGTGTTCCAATAATGGATTAAAATTTTTTGGTAAGAAAATTGAAATCTACTTTAAAAGCAATAGTATATGATATATTTACAATGGAAAAATAATAATGAGACAACATCAAAAGAACGAGAAAGTACTTACTTAAGGCAACGACCATCAAAACTGCAGGGATTCCGAAAGCCAGTGAGTAACACGTATCATCTCCAAAGCATGTTACGTCGGCTGAAAAGACACACAGTAAATAACAGTCTCAGCTTTTCTAAAAAAACAGGTATAGCTATGATTTAGTATTTGTGTTATGCACATCAGTAAAGTTACAAAGACAATCAGAATTATCTCTTCCAAAAGAGGATGAAAGGTTTGTAAAAGAACAAATATAAATACACACACGTGAGATTATGGGGAAACATAATTAACATTTTTCTCTCTGTTAAGATTTCGAGGTGCTGCCATCAGTAAAGTAGACTATTCTGTTAAGATAGTTTTAGACAATTAAGTTTAGGCCTAATGTTATTCATTAATACAATGCAGGCCCTTCTATTTTACGCTACCTTTTGATAAATTAAGCTTCAGGCTAAATTAGCTTTTGGCCAATTAATGTAATCGATACAAAGTAGACCCTTCAATTTTAAGGCTAACTTTTGACTGATTAAGCTTAAGCCTAACGTCAGCACTTAGTATAAAAATAGGCCATTCTATGTTAACTTAGCTTTTGACCAATTAAGATTAGGCCTAAAGTCAGTAATTTATAAAAGTATGCCTCAGTTATAAACACAAACAAAACTGGAAGGCGGAAAAATACCAAACCATTCGTAAGAGCAACTGTTTGCTGTGTGTTTCATTTATTTTGAAATACTCTTCATATAAGATATGATCTTGTAGACGTAATAAATTTTATTCCAAAATCAAAAGAATTAAGTTCAACATACGAATTACTTACGTAAAACAGAATATAAATTAATTTATTATGGTCTAATGTACATTAAAATTAAAATATTAATTATCAGTATAAAAATGAATAGATAATTTTAAAAGACTAGACCTAACGTTAATAGTTAGTATAAAATAGGCCATTCTCTGTTTAGTTAGTTTTAAACAACTAAGCTTAGGCCTAATGTAATTAATTGTAACAAAGTATGCCCTTCAATTTTATGTTAGCTTTTCACCGATTACGCTTAGGCCTAACATCAGTAATTAGTAAAAAATGAGCCACTATGTTAAATTAGTTTTTGACCAACTAAACTTAGGCCTAACATCAGTAAGTGATATAAAGTAGGCCTCTCAATTTGAAGTTAGCTTTTGACCAATTAAGCATAGGCTTAACGTCAGTAATTGATATCAAATAGGCTTCAGTTATAAACATAAGCAAAAATACAAGGGGAAAAATACGTAAGCATTCGTAAGAGCATCTCTTTGCTTTGTGTCCGATTTCTTTTGAGGTAATGTTTCATATAAGCTATGATCTTTTAGGCATAATAAATTGTAGTGCAAAATCAAAAGAATTAAGTTCAACATAAGAATTACTTACATAAAAACTTTTTTAAACTGTTTAATTAAGGTCTAATGTACATTAGAATTAAAAATATTGATTATTAATATAAAAACAAGTAGATAATTATACAAAGTTATAACTAACAAAGACTAGACCTAACGTGCGTATTTAATAAAAAATAGGTCATGCTATGCTAAATTAGTTTTTGACCACCTAAACTTAGGCTTACCGTAAGTAGTTGAACCAAAGTAGACCCTTTACTTTTTAGTGTTTTTATTTTGACCAATTAAGCTTGGGCCTAACATCAGTAATTAGTATAAAATAGGCCATTATGTTAAATTACTTTTTCACAAGCTACGCTTAGGCCTAACGTCAGTAAATGAGACAAAGTACACCCTTCACTTTTAAGTTAGTTTTTCACCAATTAAGCTTTAGTCTAACATAATTAATTAGTAAAGAATAGGCCATTTCATATTAAATTAGTTTTTGACTAAGCTTAGGCCTAGCGTCAGTAATTGATATAAAGTAGGCCCTTCAATTTGATGTTAGCTTTCGATGAATTAAGCATAGGCCTAACGTTAGTAATTGATATAAAATAGGCCTGTGTTGTAAATACAAGCAAAAATGCAAGGCAGAAAACTACGAAAGCATTCGTAAGAGCAACTATTTGCTGTGCATTTGATTTTTTGTGGGGCAACCTTCATATAAGATCTAATCATGTAGATATAATAAAATGTATTCCAAAATTTTAAAAAATGTCCAAAATATGAATTACTTACAAAATACTTATTATAAACTGTTTAATTAAGGTCTAATGTACATTAAAACTAAAAATATTAATTATTAATTTAAAAATGAATATATAATTATACAAAGTTATAACTAACCAAGACTAGACCTAACATCAGTAGTTAGTGTAAAATAGGCCATTCTATGTTAAGTTAGTTTTAGACAATTAAGCTTAGGCCTAATGTTATTAATTGTAACAAAGTATGCCCTTCAATTTTAAGTTAGCTTTCACCAATGAAGCTTGATAGTTAATATAAAATAGGCCATTTTATGTTAACTTAGCTTTTGACCAATTAAGATTAGACCTAAAGTCAGTAATTTATATAAAGTAGGCCTGAATTATAAACACAAACAAAACTGGAAGGCGGAAAAATACCAAACCATTCGTAAGAGCAACTGTTTGCTGTGTGTTTAATTTATTTTGAAGTACTCTTCGTATAAGATATGATCCTGTAGACGTAATAAATTGTATTCCAAAATCAAACGAATTACTTACGAAAAAAAAAATATGTTATAAGTTATTTAATTAAGGTCTAATGTATATTAGAACTAAAGATATTAATTATTAATATAAAAATGAACAGATGATGTTACAAAGTGATAACGAACCAACCTTAGACCTAACATCAGTAACTGGTATGAAATAGGCCATTCAACGTTAAGTCAGTTTTTAGACAATTAAGCTTGGGCCTGACGTCAAATTTTGATATAAAATAAGTTATTTTATGTTACATACGATAGATATGTAAGTTTGTGTATATTTTGTTAACTAAAAGTGTTTAATAATCTTTATTGTAAAACATCTTATATAAGGAATTTAAATATGTAACACAATAACAGAACATAGTTAAAGACGTGATACTATAGAAAAGACAGTACAGTTACAAAAGGAATATTCAAATGTTTTTGTAATTTAAAGCTACAAAAAGCATTTTCATGTTAATACAGAATTTGTTGTTTTTTTGCGTTTATTACATTAAAAATAATACAATTTATACTAATATGGTTTTTAAAACAAATTTAAGTTATTTAGAATGTGTAGAATCACACGTTTTACTAAATATATATCAAAATCTATTTTTACCTCTTAAAATTGGAGTCAAAAAAGTAGACAATAAACTTCCGGCATTGATTGATAAATAGAAAAATGAGAAGAACCTCTGAAGGTCACGTTCCTTTAATAAATAGAAAAATGTATAGTTAATGCATAGACAGAGTATGCGCGCGACAGTCTATGTTATGCTTTTCTACCAACCATTTAACAACCAGTAAAGTAATACACAGTTAGGTATCAGAAATTACTTTTTAAATCCACTAATAACCTGACGTAAAAAAGATAATGTAAAATAAACTGAACGTGTGCATTTTTGGAGAAAGGATTAAAAACCATTTCTCTCTATGCCGTCATTTTTGTATACATATTGTTTATCTTTAAATTTTTGTTACGCTGACTAGAAACCGACTCTCTATGTTTATTGTCTTCCAATGTGACTGATTCCTTGTTGAAGGTCTTAACGAAGTATAGGTACCTTTGTCAAGAACCTGTCTTCCCAATGTATGGAGTTGAAATTTTCTTCTTCCACAATTCAAATTGAACTGGCAAGAAATACAAAAAATAATGTTTCTACAAAAAGGAACCGACATTTCAGTTGGAATTTCAAAAAGAACTGTAACCGAGTTTCAGTAAGTACTGGTTAGACTTCAACCCTAGACCAACTCACTCGCTGTGTATCATCAGGAGAAAACTCCAAACGCGGTGAATATTTAGGAATTTTTGTATCTTGATTTAGGTAGATCAAGTATATATTCAAAATATATACTTTATCACAGCCTCTCATAGGATTCTGGATCTCATGTATGCTTATGTTCGTCTTCATTGTTCTGTAATTATGCGCTTATGAAACATCAATGTCATACACAATATTCTTTAGTTGTGAATCCTAAATAATTTTTCTTGTGCTAACTACTGCTATGAAACTATAAGATTGATAGCAGAATCAAACAACTTTTTTTAAGTTTAAATTTGAAAATGTTAAAGTTACCTGTCCTGGACCAAACTGGTCTCCACCGAACGCTGAGACACATGGTTTAATACCCCCGGTTCCTGCTGCTACCATGAAAAGTCCTATCATAGATATCACCCTGTACGAAAGACAGTAAGATACAATCATTCTACAGGCAAGATTTTGCTCTCCAGTTGGTGTTACAAAACTTTTCTTTCCACAAGACATACCCATGGTGATTATTTGCTCTCGAGATACGACATTACAACTGTTTTCCTTCCGCAAGACACATTCATAGTAATTATCTAATTGATGTTTACAACATAACAACACATTTCCGCCTACAAGACATCCCCATGGTGATTATTTACTATGGTTACAACACTATATTTTTTCCTCCACAAGATATGCCCATGATGACAGGGCCGATTTCGATCCTCTGAGGCCCCATGTAATACTGCGATGCTGGAAGCTTCCTTCTTTGGGGCTCTAGGCCCCTATGTAATTACAAGGGCTGCTCCCCCTCTAAATCCGTCAATGCATAGTAATTATCTATATATGGTTAGTCTTACTAGATGATTGAGATTTTCAAACACTTTATTCTGAAACGTGTTGTCTATTGTTAAGCAGTGACTTTGTAACTATTACCTATTGTTAGACGATTTGGAAACTTCTGTCAGTAAATTGTATAAAGTTTTTTTTTTCTTCGATGCTCACAAGCACTTGATGTAACACTATGTTTAATTAAAATTTTGATTGAATTTCATGAAGATTACATGACGTACTAAAAAAAAGAATATAACATTCAAACTTTGGAGAGTGTGTGTGTGCAAACTTACGCCATTGGTAGAAAGTTGGGAATGGATGCCAGGGCTAGAACGATGTTACCCACTGCGTGCAATATAGAGATATGCAGAATCGTCCTAGAAAAATAAATAGGGAATTAAGGAGTTGAATATTCACAAATCTTTAAAAAAAGATAGTAAAACATTTTAGTATTATTTGAATATCCGAGTTTTCATTTGAGTCTACTTAACAATAAATTATATTATTTGCTAATACTGTTTATATTTTTTCTGCTGAGCCAATACACTTTTCTGTGACGTTATTTGACAGAATAAACATTTGAGTGATGCGTGTAAGAAAAAAGCGTATTACAAATTCAAGTAGCAAAGTATTACTTCAGAGTTTACATCAGAATTAAAATAAGATAAAGTTGTTGGGAAAAGATCTTGAATAAAAAAAGCCTGAATGTTTTATATTTGGCATAAAATTAAAATGAAATACAAGTTAAATAAGTGTAAATATTCCAAAGTGAAAACAACCAGGAGAATCAAATAGTTATTGTAAGAAATCTCAAATTTTAAAGTAAAGTTATTTGAAATATTTAAAGTTGGTTTATACTGGAAACAGTAAAGAAACAGCAACGTAACGTAGTAGTGTTAACAATATAACCGACTTAATAACGACAAAGAATAGGAAATCAATACTACTGTTTTCGTAAACTAACACTAAAAAGACAGAAAAGGTAAAAGAAATACCTAAAGGAATCTTAAATCTTGAAGCTGAGATTGTACTGAGGAAGAAAAGTCAATTTAAATACTTATTATTTTTTAATTAGGAAGCACTTTTATAGAGTGATTTGATCAACGTAAAAATTGTCTGAGACTTTCTGTTTCAATAATATCATCAGAATGCATAGTCACCAGCATCCCAAATTACTGTTAAATAAAGCAAATTGATTTCATGAAAAGGCTAAAATCCGGTCCTCGTTCACATTAAACATTCGAAATGCGTCCAAGTTCGTGCATCTCGCGAAATTCCAACTTAAACATTGGCATGGAATCATTTGTGTTTGCATTTTCCCGCTGTGAATATCCGATCCACTAGGCAGTTTTAACCGACCTACCAAATACAAGGTAGAAATTGAAATAGATAAAGAATGAATAAACTTAGAAATAGAGCTTAATTGTTTGTTACCCGTTAATGTGATACTCTGATGTTTTGTACTAATAAAATTCAATAAAAATATGAAACTTTTTGGTTCGACATCTAAGATCCGAACCTCGGAAGGTAGCTTATTCTTAATCACCAACTGATTGATTTAACCCTAAACACATAAAAACGTTTAAAACTTCATGAGCACAGCTACATATGTGGTTGAGGGGGGGGGGGATCTATACTACAGTTTTTGAATATTCTTCAATATAAAGTTTAATAGAAACTAACAATTGTTACAAGTTCTGAAATTGAATTTTCAGAGTGAATTTTTATCCGAGTTCGGAGTAATTTAAAGTGTTAAGAATTTTGCTCTCCCCCCCCCCCCATTACATGTAAGAAGCAAACGTAAACTGAAATATAGAAAGTTCGTTTCCAGCGTAACTTGTGGTTTGCACACTGTCCTTACTTGTATTTCCCCAACAATGAATCTGCTAATATTGCACCCAAAATAGGAGTGAAGTAACAAGCCATAGTGAAGACGTGATAAATCATTGTTGCACTGTCGTCATCGTAGAGAAGAATGTTTATCAGGTACAGCGTCAATACGGCTGAAATGATAAAGCAACAAGTTATGTTAATCACAAGGCGAAACAAGAAAATGAAGAAAAAGTGTGTCTGCATGGCATGTGTGTAATGGGTAACAAAATCGTGTAACAGTGAAGTTGACCAAAACACTCCTTAATCAGAAATTCGGTAATGCACAAAAATCACCGACAGTTACCAAATGTTCTATATATTTGGTCGTGCCTTATATAGAGAGGAGGGGGTAGAGTTTTGTTGTATAACCATATTGTTACGACAGCGGGAGTTATGTGACGCTAGTAACTCGGCATATTCTCGAACGTTCACATCCCTTCCTGGAGTCTCGAGAGGTTACTAGATATGCGGTATTCTTGTATATATAAGCCGCCAAGAAGTGACGGCAACAATGTAATGTGTAATTGAACTGCAGACAGAGATAGATATGGACAGTTGAGTCGAGCACGTGAGACGTTCGTTGTGAATTATAGCGTTTGTTATAGCTCGACTGTGGAAATTAAGTGCATTGCAAAGTTGTATTCAGAAAGAATAAACCAGTTTTATTTAAGAAAGGACTTGTGTCGCTAAAGTTTCATCGGAAAAATTTTTTACAGGAAACAAACCAACGACCAGAGACGTAACAATATGAATATCATCTTCAAACCAGCTTTGAACTTAGATACCTTTTTTTTTTTATGATGGATCGTTTATCTAACTGTCTGCATTCATGGGTACTTTAAAATAAATGTAACGTGACTGTGAGGCCACCTCTATCAGAAAAAACAAAGCATCATTTTTCCGTGCGTGCCAGTTAACTTTATAATTGGCAAGTCCTCCAGTATTTGTGCAATCATAGAGAGAACTTTGGACAACAGATCACATACTCAATATTCATAACCCTAAATAGCCTTGGAGCTTCAAGAAAGTTGGTTAATAAGTAAAATAAACAAAAAGCCGGTATCAGAGAGAAAAGTTAATTTACAATCACGGTTTTCGTGTAATAATAATAATTAATCTCACGCCATAGTTCTGCTTTACTTAGCAGTAACTTGTTTTGTCATTAATCACGCCATCTTTCTATCTTTGTGTTTAGAAATATTTTCTTCAAAGCCAAATTAAGTGAAGGTTAATTTGTCTTATTCTATTGGAAATAAAATAATTTAAAATAGATCATACGCATTTGAATAAATTTATTATCTAGTTTTACTTGACTTTCTCAGATAAAAATTTCGTAGCTGTATGTTCAAGTGTTAAAAATCAACTCACAAACTGAAGAAAAGAATCAGGAACTAGTTCCTTTAAATCATTACATGTTGCAATCTTTATCACGAGAATTAAAACAACGGTTTAATATTCGCTTCACAAGAAAATGTTAAAACTTTTAAGTGGTAGTTTAATGCATTGATTGTTTTACATGGCACGATATTTGTTAAATTGAAGTCTATACATTTTATTCTACGTATTATTGAGTATTGAAGAAAGGGGTAACAAATATTTTCTCTGCCCATTAATATTTTAGCAACTGATCTCTTGTTACTGTAGCTGTTAATTTTCGAATTGTTACATTATATCAAATTAAGTTATGGAAAGTCCAAGATCAACCCACTAATGTTACACTTAAAAAAGTGTCGATGTGTTGTACTTAGGAAAGAGTCGGTGTAACATATTTACATGTGTTGTACTTATGAAAGTGTCGATGTGATCTTTTTACATGTGTTGTACTCAGGAAAGAGTCGGTGTAATATATTCACGTGTTGTACTTAAGAAAGTATTGGTGTGATGTACTTACTCATATTGCACTTATAAGGTATCAGTGTGACCTACTTACCCATACTACACTTAGAAACATATCAGTGTGACCGACTTACCCATGTTACACTTAGAAACATATTAGTGTGACCAACTTACCCATGTTACACTTAGCAATATATCAGAGTGACCTACTTACCCATGCTACACTTAGCGTGGGAGGCGTTGAATCCCTTCTCCACCAACTACAACCCCCTGTATAACTGTGGTATATCTAAAGAAGGGTTGCATCCCTTCTCCACCTACTACAACCCTCTATATAAATGTGATATAATTAAAGAAGGATTGCATCTTTATCCACCACTACAACCTTCCCTATAACTGTGGTATATCTAAAGAAGGGTTGCATCCCTTCTCCACCTACTACAGCCCTCTATATAAATGTGATATAATCAAAGAAAGATTGCATCCTTTATCCACCACTACAACCTTCCCTATAACTGTGATATAACTAAGGAAGGGTTGCATCCTTTATCCGCCACTACAACCCTCTATATAAGTGTGATATAACTAAGGAATGGTTGCATCCCTTCTCCACCTACTACAACCCTCTATATAAATGTGATTTAATTAAAGAAGGATTGCATCTTTATCCACCACTACAACCTTCCCTATAACTGTGGTATATCTAAAGAAGGGTTGCATCCCTTCTCCACCTACTACAGCCCTCTATATAAATGTGATATAATTAAAGAAAGATTGCATCCTTTATCCACCAGTACAACCTTCCCTATAACTGTGATATAACTAAGGAAGGGTTGCATCCTTTATCCACCACTACAACCCTCTGTATAACTGTAATATAACTAAGGAAGGGTTGCATCCTTTATCCGCCACTACAACCCCCTGTATAACTGTGATATAACTAAGGAAGGATTTCATCCTTTATCCATCAACTACAACCCTCTGTATAACTGTAATATAACTAAGGAATGGTTGCATGCTTTATCCACCACTACAACCCTCTGTATAACTGTAATATAACTAAGGAAGGGTTGCATCCTTTATCCGCCACTACAACCCCCCTGTATAACTGTGATATAACTAAGGAAGGATTTCATCCTTTATCCATGAATTACAACCCTCTATATAACTGTAATATAACTAAGGAAGGATTTCATCCTTTATCCATGAACTACAACCCTCTATATAACTATAATATAACTAAGGAATGGTTGCATCCTTTATCCACCACTACAACCCTCTGTACAACTGTGATATAATAAAGGAAGGATTTCATCCTTTATCCATGAACTACAACCCTCTGTATAACTGTGATATAATTAAGGAAGGGTTGCATCCTTTATCCATCAACTACAACCCTCTGTATAACTGTGATATAACTAAGGAAGGGTTGCATCCTTTATCCACCACTACAACCCTCTGTATAACTGTAATATAACTAAGGAATGGTTGCATCCAATATCCACCACTACAACCCTCTGTATAACTGTGATATAACTAAGGAATGGTTGCATCCTTTACCCGCCACTACAACCCTCTGTGTAACTGTAATATAACTAAGGAATGGTTGCATCCTTTATCCATCAACTACAACCCTCTGTATAACTGTAATATAACTAAGGAATGGTTGCATCCTTTATCCATCAACTACAACTCTCTGTATAACTGTGATATAACTAAGGAAAGTAAAATAAAACTTCCAGTAATGTACTTCTATTTTTATCTCTCTTTTTTTTTGTTTCCATTAATACATTTTTATCATCCCCTTCCTCCTTCTGCGTGCACCAATAATGATAATGCAATTTCTTGATCAACCCGTTCAATATTACGTCTGCCTATATATACAAAATATTTTGATACGCACGACAATCATTATTTATTCATTTATTTTAAATGTGTACTGTATGTTATATCCTGAACGTACATTATAGTTTAATATCTGACTAACAACACAGGTAAAAGAAATGTAAAAATAAGTTTACAAAACACCCGGGAACTTAATGTGTTTTATTTCTAGTGCTGCTAATTTCGAAATTTACATGTACACAAATTAAAATCTGAAACAATAAATACTTAGAATAAATTTACATATTCACAGTGTAACATTTTAAAATGTATGCAACTAAATAATAAGTTTGTTATTAGTACTGCGCATGAATGATAAAACCTCGTAATAATACTGATAATAATCAAATCATGCCATTCTTTACTGACCCATTGTCGGTTGAGTCTGATGCCTGAATATGTAAAAAAATTTTAATTATACGTTATTTGTTTATGTCACTGCCAACGAGGCTTTCCATAGATCATCAGTAGAAAAGCCTTGTTGGCAGTGCCTTGTAACAGCTGGATGTAGTTAAATGCTGATATGTATTCTTCTCAGCCGTACTGAGACAATGAATAATAAAGCTACTTAGTTAATATCAGCCTTTTTGTAATGTAGTATCACACAAGTATTACGTGCTACGCCAACCAAGGAATTCTACATCATAACGCGCTTGCTTACGTAGAGTCCTGTAAATCAGTGCTGGAATTGTGTCTACTTAAGAAGGGGAATGCCATAAATATAATGAAAGAATTGTCTACTATATTGGTACACTCATATATATCATGAATTTAATTACCTCATTAATTAGATCTAAATTAAGATTTAAATTGTTTTTTGCATGAAACAAACATTAAGACAAACTAAAAACCAACATTACTAATGGTTGTTGGAGATAATGTGTCGCACAGGAAAAATCCGGGGATCTAAGAGTAGGTTTTCAGAGTCGCTGAACCCAAATTGGGAGTCGGATTTTGTGTTCCTGACCCCCCTCCTCCTCCTTCGGGGGCGCAATGTTTTAACTGTATTCATAGGTACCATAGGTGGGTGTACTAACGGTGTTTGTTGATCTAAGAGTAGGTTTTCAGAGTCGCTGAACCCAAATTGGGAGTCGGATTTTGTGTTCCTGACCCCCCTCCTCCTCCTTCGGGGGCGCAATGTTTTAACTGTATTCATAGGCACCATAGGTGGGTGTACTAAAGGTGTTTGTTTCCGGGTACGGGCCTCTCTTGGAGTAGCTATAAAAGTAATTGGGAATACTAGAGAAGCGTGATAGGTTCCTCTGTTAAATACGAGAGCGAAGCGCGGATTATTTATTCTAGCATCATTAACTAAAAATGTGTGATTACGAAACAAACGGGTCTTATTTGGTTAAGTGTTTAACTTTAATAGAGGTCACCAATTGATTAGATGTTTAGCTTTAACAAACAGTCAGCTTTTGGTTAGCTTTAATAAACGGTCAATATCTGATCAGTTGTTAATTCTTATCCAACGGTCAGTATTT